GAGGTATCGGTAATGCCTCTTTCCGATCCCTGGCTGAGCTGGAGAAAGTGTAGGCGGTGATGACTGGGCTGCAAAGGGCGGTGCCGAGAGCCTGCCATTGGGCATGCTTGGCGAGCCATCGAAGGGCTTTAATGCAGGAAGGCACGGTCATCTGATGGATTTCGCGATCTTGCTTTGCTGAGGCGCGGGCCGCAGAGATGAAGTCCAAGATGACGTGAAGTGCCAGAGCAGCTGGCAGGATGCAGGAACTATGCAGGAAGGCGAAAAAATTAAAGGTAACCCGGAAGTAACGTTCCAAGGTACCTGGGGAGAAAGGCCTGAGCACTGCAAGCATGTGCTGTTGGGCCTGGGAGCTTTGCTGCAAGGATTGCCAAAGAGAGGAAGCCCCGGCCAGGATCCCCAGAATTTGCGTCCAGGCAGTGTGGCAGGCCTGGCGGCGCATGTCGTGCTGACGGCGGCTGAAAGACATTGGTACCCCCTGAACGCGAGGGACCGGGATAGGCGGTTGGGCGGCAGGGGGAGGCGAAGGCGCAGTTGCGATGGAGCCATAGGCTGCGTGGCATGGCTCGGGCCGGCGGCGGGGGGCGGCCCTCACGGGGAAGAGGCGGTGCAGAACCTGACTTAGGGAAAGGCTTATTAGGACTAGGGCAACCCATGGCGGGTACTTGACCACGCGACGGGGCGGGCGCGAAAGGCCTTGGGTGATGCTGTGCGGCAGTCTAGGCAGGTCACCTGTAAAGTCCACCCGTATGGCGATTGCAGGCCGCTGTGGGGCTTTGCTGGTGAGCGGCAGGACCTGGGGCGAGGCAGGGGTATCCGGCAAAGTAGGTTCGGGCAAAGGGCTTAAGGTCCTAACGAGGCGAAACGGCAGAGCTGATTGCGACGCAGGTGTGCCTGGCGAGCTAAATTCGTCCTCTAGGCTGATTCACCAACCTCAAACAAACCTAACAACACAGGCAGGTGCGACGGTTCATCGTCAGACCCCGAGGCGTGCGGGGTTATTGCAATGCTTGGCTGGGTTTGAATCACTGAAGGCGGTGATGCAGTGCAAGGTGCAGGGTCCTCGAGGGAGCCGAATTTTCGTTTCCATCGCTGGCGCATAGGTGCAAGCGGGGCTGAGGCAGACCAAAGGACAAAGAGGCCCCGAGCAAGATACGAGCAGGACCTGCCTTGAGCAAGAAGCCGGCTGATGCAACCTGCATGCAGGCCACCAAAGAAAAGGCAACCAAAGAAGTGCGGGCTAACAGAAGCGGCGTGCAAGAGCAGAAAAGCGGGGCACTGGATGCCGAGGCAAATCCTGACAAACCAGGAAAGCGGGAGCATAGCGAGCATCCAGAAAAACTGTGCTGAGCAGAGGCGCTGCAAGAACGTGCCTGGATCAGCATGAAGATGGACCTGAGCAAGCACAGAAAGCAGTAGGAAGAACCCTAAGGCAGCAAAAGCGCAGGAAACAGGCTGAACGGGCTGCGGCCGTACTTTTTGCAGTGCGGTGCTGTGCGGGTGCGGGAGGGGAGCTCACTGCTCTTCCCTCTCTTCTTTGCTCTTGCAAATCGAGCAGCGGTGCTTATTATGCATCTCTGTTGCCAGAGGCTGTGCAAGGCGGAATGGCTTACCACATGGCAAGCAATCGCCGGAGCTGTGCGTGGAGTCGCATTGAATTGCGCAGCAGACCCGACCGCGGCGATCTCGATACCACGGTGGGGCCTGGCGACTCCAGCGGACTTCCGCCGGAGTGCGGTGCGATGCCTGACACCAAGAGCCGATTTGCGGGGCATGTGCGAGATCATCCTGTGCAGGGACGTCAGCGGCGGCGATGAAGTCCTCGTTGCGGGGCGGGGGGCGGCTTTCGCGCCGCTCCTTGGCCGTGGCGGGGCGGGGCTGAGCATGCGGGGCGGGGGGAGCAGGTGCGGGATCGGCGCAGCGTTTTTCTTGCTGCGTAAACTGCTTGGGCCAAACCGGCACTGGCGGCGGTGCAGGGTTGACAAAGTCAAGCGGTGGCTGTTGTGCAGGATCCGACATATCGGCCCAAGACTGAGTAGCGGGGCCAGCGGATGGTGCAGGATGTGGGGCTGCGAAAAACTGGTCTCCCACTGGTGTCAAGTAGAATGCTCCAGGCGGGTATGCAGGCATTGCTTTCACAGGCACTGAGCTCTTGGCCTGCGGTGGCGGTGCTGGGTGCCGCGAGGGTCAGAAAAAGTGGCGGGTGCGGGGGAAGGCTGAGCAACAGCAGGCTCAGGTGTGGCTGTGGCCGCAGGAGCAGCCTGCGGTGCTGGTGCGGGATCAGGCGTTGGCTTTGCAGGGGGGTCAGAAGGTGCAGAGCTGGCCGGGGGTTCCGGAATAGTTTTCAGGGGCTCGCGGGGCGTCTTGTTGCCTTTGCAGTGCGTCTCGATCTCGGCCAAATAAGCGCCGTGCGTGAGGCAGGCGCTGAGCCTGAGGCTTTGCAGGGGTCCAAGGCGCTGTGCAGATTCCACCAACTCCTCGTTGGTGGCAGAGGCGAGTGCGACCCAGGCAGCGCCCAAGCCAGACATGATGCAAGAGCGGTGCAGGGCAAAGAAACAGAAATGATGATGTCACAGTCTGTTAAGTGACCTGATGCGTGCTTAAGTATGCGAAGATGAAGTGGAGCAGAGCTGTCTGCAGTGCTGTGCCTTAAGAGGCTCGGGCCACTAGCGGGGCTGAAGACGAAATGTGTCCTTGGCCGAGAAGCTGTGCGACGAGCCTTGCGTAGCCCGCTGAGCCAAAGCACGGAGGGAATCCACCAAGTAGGCAAGCCAATGCTGAAAAATGCGAGGCAGAGCAAGGCATGCAAGGAGCTGAGGCCAAGACCGTCGGGGCGCAAAGAGGAAGAAGTGCAGACCTGAGCAAAAAACGGAAAAGCAAAGGAGGCAGAGGCAACCAGGGCAGCTTGCCGAAAACAGTGCTAGGCGAAGCGATCGCGAAGCAGAAGACGAAGTAGGACCTGAATCCAGGCGGGCTGAGCGCAGCAAGAAAAAAGAGCAGGGCAGGCGGCTCCTGAAAGCAGCCAGCGGTGCTGAAAAGGGGGATGTCGCCCAGAGATTGGTTGACCTGAGGCAGGACATGGCGGTGCAGCCGCGACCCAAGCGAGGGTTGGCAAAACTGAGGCGGGGCGGCCCCGACCGATGAGCAGCAGGCCCGCGAGCCAAAGGTTGATGCAGAAGTCGAGGAAGAAGTGCCTGGCAGACGCGAGGCACTCTAAAGAAAAGCTGAGCTTGAGGCTGAAACCGACATGCAACAAGGATGCTGGCAAGAATGCTTTTGCGATGCAATGTAGAAAACCACAAAAGCAGTGCTGTGCTAGTGCGCTGTGCGTGAAACAGTGCTGGCGGCACAGCAGTTGCGGCGCGGTGCGATTGCGTATGGGTGGAAAAAACCACCGGGTAGAAAATCTACCATGACGTCAGCGTTGCTGGGCTGTGCGTCGCGCAAAGAATAAATCGGCACAGAAGAGATGCCGAGCTGAAGCAGGGGCCTGCGGTACCACAGGGCAGCGCAGGGCGGTGCGTTGCTGGTAAAATCGCAGAACAAAAAGAGATGCTCACGTTGCCGTATCTCCAACCACTGCTCCCAGAGAGTCTGGGAGCAGCAGTGCAGTGCCCGAACCTCTTCAGGTAGCGATGCAGAGCAGATACGGTGCAGAATGCGGCGATCCAGTAGTGTATCCTCCTCCAAGGCGAGGTCCACGAAACTGGAGCTGTGCGATGCAGGAGATGCTGCGGCGTGGGCGGTGCGTTGCGAGGCAAGCCAAGCTTCAGCTCGGCGCGAGGCTGATGCTTCGGCTCTGGCACATGCCGCTGCCACCACGACGCTGCTGCGGAGACTGCTGGGCGTGCTAGACCAAACCGATGCAGTGCTGGGCGGGCTGTCGTCGGCGCGCCAAACAGGAGCCGGTGCGTTGCGGAGCAGTTCCTGAGCGGAGTAACGGAGCCATTCGGACCCTGAGGACATGACAAGCAGAGGCGGGGCGGGACTTAAGCGAGGGCTGCAATCTCGGCTGGGGTGAAATGGTACAGCTGGCTAAGAGCATTGCGTGCTTCTCTGCTTGCTGAAGATAGGCTGCGGAAAGAAGCGATGCAGAAGCAACTAAAGAAGTAACCCGCGACTCTGAATTGAAACCAGCAAACGCTTAGAGTCGAATCCGCCTGAAAGAAGACGCGGGGCGATGAAGACCAAAGTGCCAGGCGACGCCTGACGAGAATCAGGCGAGGCGGGGTATTGCTGATGGGGCAGGGCCTAGCTTGTTGATAGCGCCAACAGAAAACCTCGGGCTGGGTGCGATTGCGGAAAGCAACGCTGAGCAGAATGCGTCTGCAAGAAGGAGAGACGTCCCAAGAAGTGCAAAGATGCCTGTGCGAAGCGATGCAAAGCTGAGCGAGGCACCGGCAGTCAAAGAAGCAGAGGAAGCTGAGCAAGAAACCTGCTGAGCACGCCGACTCAAGGCATGCAATCCAAGAAGCAGTGCTGGGCATGGCGAAAGACCCTGGGGAACGACGCCAAAGGGCCCAGCGAGCCACAACAAGCTGAGCATGTGTGGGCGAGTGCACAGCGGTGCTGGCAGAAGCGACTGCGGGCTCGGCGCGCGGCCGTTTGATCTGCCCTTGGCGACCCATGGCGCGGAGCAGAGCGGAGCAAAAGAAGCCTAGCTCGCAAGAAAATACCAAAAGTGAATGCATGCAAACTCAAGCTGTGTAGAAAGCTGCATGTAAAGCTGCATGTAAAGCTAAGCAAGTGCAATGCATTGAAAAAAGCTAAAATCGGAAGCGATCCGGGTCGACAGCTTGAGCTAGCAGTGCGGCGCAGGGCGAAGCAATGCAAGCTCAAGTACTTACCGAAAACACTGTCGACCAAAACAACAAACTCACGACAAGCGTGCTTTCGAAACAAGATCTTTTAAGAGATTGGTTCCATCTGCGGGGCTTTCATACAGTACGATTCGGAAGTAGGCAAACTGGCAATTAAAAACGCACAGAACCAACAAGGGCCTACACACGAAGTCGCAGTCTTCCCGTGCGAAGTGGAACACGAATCCATTCACTGTGATTCAGTGTACGGCGAGACGGGAAAAGGTCCTCAAGATCTTCATGGGTGGGCATCTGCGGGTCCAACGTTGGCAAACCGGCAGGAAATACATCCTGCAGGCCCCGAGACACAGGCGTTTGCTCATCTGTTAGTTGAAGCCGGCCAAAAGCAAACTTCCAACTCCGACGACTCAAGTAAGTCGTGCAGGCTCCAAACAAAATTTGCATCCGTGAAGACATGGACAAGTCTACTGCGTCTCTGGTTTTCTCTGCCAAATAGTGCTTGTACCCCTGGAAACAATATACATCTAGCGGTTGGAGCAGAGGCGTCAGGCCGGCGGGGCAAACAGCTGTAAAAAAACCTTGATTATTGGCAGCTTCTATCACGCTGTCAGCAAGATGGGCTGGAGCACAATCCATCACGAGGATGGGTTGAATCTCTGGCCACAGTGATAGTGCGTCTCGAAGCATTTTCAAATACTCTACGAAGGAAGCAGCTGTACTCCAGCCAGTCTTGCCCCGTACCAATCGCACTGTTTCCGGCTGCAGGGGCAACAACGATTTGGCCAGCTTCTGACTCACAACACGTGTGTTGCTCAAGATCACTTGCGGAAGACACGGCTGGATGTCGGATCGGTTGCAAATGCTGGCCACGTGGGTCAAGGCACCCCTTGTACGCTTTCCCTTCCGCTGCAAGGAGCACTTTCCGGGCACGATATTGCCCTTGAGGTCTGGCCGCGCCAGAGATATGCTAGTTTCGTCCACATTGATAAAGACGGCCTGTTTGCCTGCCGGAACTCTCACAACCTTGGGGTCTCAAAAGGGGAACCTTGGGAGGATGGGTTTTCGACCTTCCCGTATCTACGTTCCCACTAACGTTCCCATTTTGGGCACTTTTTTTGGTACCAGTTTAGGGAACGCAAAAACGGACCAAAATGCCGCCGAACCGCCTTACGTCGAGTCTCCTCAACTGGTCCTGGAACTGGTCCGCTCTTCATTCAATACACCAAATCGCAGATGGAACCTTTCACGATATCGTTTTGCCCATTTGCGCATGTGGCGACCATGTCGGTGTGAGATCGTGTTGTTGTGGATTGATCTAACCAAAGCCTGCTCCAGCACTCCATATTTATGGCAGGTTTGCACAAACACCGATGCTGTAGCAGCGGATGTAGGCGCCACGCCGCGCTCGTTTTGCCTGGAAACCCAAAAAACTGTCTGATTTTGTGCCAAAAACCGAACAGCTTCCCGACGTACTGGACCAGGGTCTTGAAGCTTCACCAGTTTGTCTAGAGCGGCTTCGAGATACCAGTTTTCAATGCGGGCATCCAGTGTGGCATCAGTGTATTCAGTGTGTGCATCAGCATTGGTCCGCTTTTGACAGTGGACGAAACGAACATAAGCCCGAGCTACCCCGATGTCATACTCCGACAGCATGTAAACGGCCAAGACAATTGTAATCTGCCGAGCTGTCAAAAACAGGTTGGAAACTGCACGACGCAATCGCTTCAATGATTGCTTCGTGCTCGCAATTTCCTTTGACAAGCGCTGCACCTGGTTGTGGGGCTGTAGGACAGCATCACAGTTTGACTATGTCTAAAACCCTGCTGAACTTGGCTCGGCCTCGACGGCAGCAGCTGGAGGAGGCAGTGGCGCCTCTCTTGGTCCTTCCTGCCGGCGGAAAGCAATCAGAAGCAATAAATAGCTCTTGCTCCAGGATGCACCACATAGCATACGCACAGACACTCTCCACTCCAACACAAACAACTGCTAGCAGCGAGCTTGCAGACTGTGCACAAGCTGTCCAGCGCCGTGAAAACCCTGTCTCTGCAACAGCATGTCGGACAGAATTGCGTCACAGAGCCGTTTCTTTTGCACACAGCGCGTTAGCACTGAACCTCACTGAGAGGGCCCCGTCCTTTGACCCCCAACTTCTCTCTAGCAGGACAGCGCCCGAAACGAGAGCATGCCAGTAGTCTCTTTGCAATCGGGTTTCAGCTGCAACACTCAACCCCTCGCGCGTCCCTGCGGGCTTTGGACTACATCTAGGTAGCATGTAGTGACTCATATCCATGCGCTGCCATCGTACTCTACAATGGTACTGAGCCACACCTGCAGCCGCTGACCGATTGTAGAATACGGATGGCATTAGCGCTGGCACATCTTGCAATCTGAGCATTGCTACAAAAATGAGTGACCTCTGAGCTGACTGACTCGTTTTCTTACCCAACGCTCGCACTGTATGCCAAGCAACCTCTTCTCCAAGTCCACCTGCGTGCCCCGTTTTCCCATAGAATACCATACCAGCATCGCGGCGCTCTGGAAGTTCCACGCATCGCGGGTCCCTGTTCCCGTGCGTTTTACACCCCCGCGAGTCCTTCTTTCCCTGCAAGAAAAATGCATTGGTTTTACACCGCACCGCGTTCGGGTTATTGCAGGTGTTACACCATGCCGGGTCCCTGCGGGTCCCGTTTTCCCTGAAAGCCGATAATCCGATAAGCAACTCCTGAAACGCAATGAGCAGAACCGTAACATCTCCAAGGGCAGCGTTGGGCCCTTAGGGACTCGCAGTGGATCCTCAAACAAAAAAGTCAGGAAATTGCGGGCATTTGAAAGGCGAAATGAAGCTGCTCGCTGAATGGGCCGACACACGGCACACATCAGTCTCCAAGGGCAGCGTTGGGCCCTTAGGGACTCGCAGTGGATTCCTCAAACAAAAAGTCAGGAAATTGCGGGCATTTGCAAGGCGAAACAAAGCTGCTCGCTGAATGGGCCGACAGACGGCACACATCGCGGAAGGGCCTGCAGCAAACAGGGTGGACCTGCTGCGGCTCCCAAAGAATACCGCAATCGCGGGTCCCTGCGGGTCCCGGCGGGTCCCGTTTTTCCTAGGGAATACCGCAATCGCGGGTCCCTGCGGGTCCCTGCGGGTCCCTCGTTTCCTAGGAAAAACGCACATGCGGGTCCCTGCGGGTCCCTGTTTCCCTGCGTTTTACACCACACCCCGTTTGGGTTATACAATGTTGGAGGTGTGTGACGCCCGGGGCGGGCCAGGCAGATTGGAATAACACTGTAGCATGGACTATCGTCCAAATGGTGTGTAGCCTGCCTCTAGTACTTCGCACTCGCAGTCCTGCGTTCCGTGCTCGTACTATCAAGAGGAAACCGGATCCACATCCACCGGTGCCCGCTGTTCTCACCGCAAAGATCTTCCACAGTTGATGTGGCCACCTTGGGTGAAACTGGAAGTCACACTCTCTGGTGTGATGCAGTCACATTGGGTGAAACTTCATTGGGTGAAACTTCAAATTACCCTGCACGTTTTGTGTGTGACCAGGATGGGTGAAACAGGAAGAGCATCATGATTCTGAGAAAACGAGCATCATGAGCATGAGTTGCAACGTACGTTCAGGTTCAGATGGTCGCCATCCCTCGTTCATGGGGTCTCGTGCTTGCACTTGGAAGCAAAACCGTGACAAAATTTGTTAGAAGATGTTCGCGTTGCACGCTTCACACTGAAAGAGCAGGTGCAAAGTATATGCTTCGACGACAGCTGTTATTAAATTGTCGATAAGTGGGAGCAGTATCTAAGCTACACCCGCCCTCTCTTCAAAGCTCAAACATGGTCTGCAAGGCCGCCATCCCTCGTTCGGTCTCGTGCTTGCACTTGGAAACAAACCGTGGTTAGAAGCTCTTCGCGTTGCATGCTTCACACTGAGAGAGCAATTGCAAAGTGAGAACCACGTCCTCAGGCTCCAGACGATCCATACTGCAAGCGTCCTGCAGATCTTGCGCATTGCCAATTTACAAGAATATTGCGAAAGGCTCCACATGCTTCGAGAATGAGCGCTATCCAACTGTCGTCTCTTTGGAGAAAGTGGCTCATGTGATGCACCGCGAACGACGAAGCCACTGCTGGAGCAAGCTCGAAAAGTCCCGAACCTTGTGCACTGCACGCCCATTGACAGTTCAAGCAATACGTCAATAAGTGTAACATCGAACCTTTGATAAAGTGCCAATAAACGTTATCCTAACTGCCAATGAGCGATGACAGTACCCAACCGAAGCCGATGAGAAAAGCCCACACCCAGCTTGTTTCTAGATGAATTGAATTGCTGAAAGCACTCCTCCGCCTGCGAAGTGCGCAGCTTGAAAGAACCTTGTTTGGAAACTAAGTGCAACGTCTCAGATGTCAATTCAAAAAGAATCTTCAAATCCCACGTCTGCTATTTCACATGGTCAAAAACTTCTAAGAGGACGTCTGCTGTTGCAACTTCGGCAGCTGAGGACCCCGCAAGGCAAGGCACTCTCTGCAGGTAGCGGATACCCGGCTGAGAGGTTCTGAAAGGAAAACTGTGGCAATATGTAGAATGCAGAGAGTCTGCGAGTCACAGCTGCCGGATAGTGGCTGTTGCGTATACAAACTGCGTGACATGTTAGGGTTTTCCGACGCCTTTGCAACAAAGCCGACCAGCACGCACTTGCTTGGCAAGCAGCGTACTCAAACCGCAAAATCATAGCAGAGCATCACAAAACAATGCTTTGAGGCACGGTGCTTGCTCTCTGGCAAGCAGCGTACGGCAGCTACAAAATCATAGCACGGCATCATAAAACAATGCTTTGAAAGGCCACTACAGCATGTTACAACAACACAGCATGTTGAGCTATGATTTCTACGCTCTGTGCGCATCAGCAGCACGTTTGACTCAGCATCACAAAACAATGCTTTCAGGCAAGGTGCAAGAAGAGCTAAAAGATCTGACGCCGATTCTACCACGGAATAAAAAAGTCTGACTTCTCATCCCAAGATGAAAGAGGCAAGCGGTGCTTGCTCTCTGGCAAGCAGCGTACGGCAACTACAGAATCATAGCAGAGCATCATAAAACAATGCTGTGAGAGGCCACTACTACTACAGCATGTTACAACAACACAGCATGTTCAGCTATGATTTCTACGCTCTGTTAGCAGCATCAGCAGCACGTTTGACTGCCAGCACGTCTAACAAGTCTGCGACTGAGAGTTCTCGGGCGCGTTTCTTCAGGTTTTGCTGGCGGCGGCCTTCTTTCTTCAGTGCTTTCGCAGCTGCACGGGCTTCCGCTTTAGCTTCCTTCTTTTGCAAGCGCAGGGGCCGCATGCGATCTTCCAAGGTCTGGCAGGGGCCAAAATGAGGAACATGTCCCTTACGCATTTAAGGGGTTCGGGAGCTGGGACCCTCACAGTTTTTTTTTGGGCGGCCCTATGCAAAGCAGACACAAGTCAGCGTACTCACTGTGAGTACGAAAAGAACGCGCTAGACCTGAGGAGCTTCTTGCACGTTGGCAGCCCCACTAACTGAAGCCAAGCCGGACGGTTAACAGCCAGCCTGTGAAGCAAAAGGAAGGCAAAAGGAAAACTAGGGGCTAGGGAAGTCATGGCATGTGGAGTATGCGAGAGCCAGTGCCATGCTAGCTCGGCACACTGCTCGGCCCAGTGCAGTCTACGACGTCCCGGCCGTATGCCTGCCTGTACTGTACCCCCTCTATATACAAACGCCTTCGTAAAAACACAGTTTCGCTCCAGGTTGCTCGGAGTTGCTCTCAAAACATGACCAAACAACTTTAGTTGTGCCCTGTGAATGTGGTGGGTGAGTGGGGGCTGGTCGGCAAGGGCTCGGACTCCTTCATTTCGGATGGTCTGTGCGAGGGGGTTGTCTGTGAGGATCTTGGTGTAGTAGGTAGCTTTGATCCGTTGGATCTTGCGGAGTGACTGTGAGTGGAAGGCCTCAAGCCTGTGGAGGTCTGCTGTGGTGAGCGCAGCGGACTCCATGCCATAAGCAATCATGGGGATGAAGACCGCGTTGTAGATGCGCAGCTTCCACGCTACGCTCAGGCCTGTGTGTCGCCAAAAGGAGTGCAGGGTGTTGAAGTGCTTCCGCGCCTTCCCCAATCTTGCGGTGATGTCCGCCTTGCTGGACGAGTCCTGGCTGAGGACAACGCCGAGGTACTTGGCCTGTGTGACTTCCTTCATTAGTTCACCTGTGAGGAAGTGTATGTGATTGACGGCCAGCTGTGAGCGAAGCAATTCGCACTTTTTAAGATTCAACGAGAGGTTGCTGTGAGCGGCAACTTCCTGAATTTGTGCAGAATTTGCTGGCCCCTTTCCGCAGTACCTGTGAAGATGGCCATGTCGTCTGCGTAAGCGAGGTCGTAGAATGGTTGGTTCTGGCCGTGCTGCTGCAGCTCCGCGTCGACATCGGCCATGATCATGCTGTGAACCACCAGGAAGAGATAGGGAGAAAGCGGACAGCCTTGGCGAATGCCCGAGCTTGCGAGAGACTGCTGGCTCTGTTGTCCTGCTGCCTTGACTGTGAAGGAGGGGTTGTTGTAAATCGAGCCAATCAGATTGACAAACGACGGCGTCACTCCGTGCCGTTCGAGTGCCACCGTTACTGCTTGTGGATGGACTTTGTCAAATGCTTGGCTCCAGTCAAGAAGCTGCACGTACAGAGTTGAACCGCAGCGTTCGGCTCGCTCCAACAGCCTCCTTGCCACATGAATCGCCTGTGAGGTCGATCTGGTGGCTCTAAACCCATACTGTGTGGGTCGCAGCTTGTGGTCTATCGCCTGCTCCAGGCGTTTCTGGAGGAGCCTGGCGAAGAGCTTGTAAGAGGTGCTGAGGAGTGCGATGGGGCGGTAGTTGTTGGGGTCCGCCATGGTGCCTCGCTTGTGAATCTCAGCCACTACTGCCGTTGACCATTCTTCCGGTACCAGACCTGTGAGCAGTGCGTCGTTGAAGAGGTCCAGTAACGGTTGCCGATTGGCTGGTGTGAGCCACTGTAAGGCCTCTGCCGGAATTTGATCCGGGCCTGGGGCTTTGTGTGAAGCCATGCCTTTGAGGGTGGCGTTGAGCTCCTCCATCGTGATGGGTTCCATGTTGACTGAACTTTCGTCCGTCAGTTTGTGGGTGGGTCCTGTGTAGTCTGTTGGTGGCGGGGCCCACTGAACTTCCGACAGGTGTTTGGCAAAGGTGTCGGCCTGCTTGCTGTAGCTGGTGGGCTTGCCGTTGGAGTCGTGTAGAGTGACCGTACGGGGCCTGTAGTCCGAGCGGATGCGCTTGATCCAGCGCCACTTGTCCCGAGCGTCCATGGTCTCTTCGCTCTCCTGAAGGCGATCCTTGAGCCATTGTTGCTTGTCCCTGCGGGCCTGTGAGCGGATGGTCTTGTGCAGTTCGCGCTCAGTGTCCAGATCCTGGCTCTGGCGAGCGGCAGTTCGTTGTTCTATGAGCTCCCACGTCTGCTGGCTAATCCAGGGATGCTTGGGTTTGCTGTCCTGTGCGGGGATATGCTTCTCCATGGACTGCAAAATGGAATCCTTGATCGATTGCCATTGCTGGTCCAGCCTCTGCTGGTCGGTGTTCGACTGCGAAGGCTGGGGGGAGACGTCCTCCACATCGGCCTCGTGTGTGGTAGGCTCCTCGAAGGCTGGCTTATGCTGAAGGGTTTCTGTGAAGTGTGTGTTGAAAGAAAGAATGGACTGTGCATCGGGGCGTCTGGTCGGTTTGGGGGTGGGTGCTGCTCTCTTGTGGCAGGCTGTGTGTAAGGAGAGTGTGACTCTGGTGAGAAAGTGGTTGCTGTTGAGAGCGGCGTTCGGGAGGGTGTGCACATCAGTGACCATATTCTTCCAGGCGAACTTAGTGATGGCGTGGTCCAGCTGAACCAGGTCACCGTTCGGGCGCTGGTGTGTCATCCGGTGTTTCTCGGCTTTGTCCATCCACGTCTGTGGAAAACATAGGTCGTGACTGACCGACATCTCGAACAGCTGCGCGTGATTGGACAAAGAGTCATCCTCGCCAGCCTGTGAGGCTAAGGTCTCATCGGCCACGTTCGCTCCAAAGTGGGCGTGGGGCCCGACGCTGCCGCGATTGGCCGAGAGTTCGTCAAGCAGTTGCGCATTGAAGTCGCCCACCACTATAAGGGGTTCGCTGGCGGGGTGGCTGTGAAGGATGTCCCCGAGTGACTGCCAGAAGGCATCGCGGACCGGCTGCTCACGTTGATTGTGAGGAGCGTACACCACCTGAACTGTGAGAGGGGCTTCGGCTGTGTCGATCTTGAAAGAGAGGAAGCGACCGTCGGTGGCAACGATGTCCAGAATGCAAGGTGTGAGCCGCGGGGAGGTAATCAGGGACACCCCCGTGAAGGTCTGTACCGGATTGCCCTTGGCATCCAGCTTGTCATCTGCGCTGTGTGTGACGGTGTACCCATCGATCATAAAGCGATCCTGTTGCTTCACGTGGGTCTCTGTGAGGGCCAGCCAGTCAAGACCATGCGTCTGCATGATCTTGATCAAGGTGTGGATCTTGCCAGCTTCAAGAAGGCCCGTGGTGTTCCAGAACCCCCCTTTCAGATGCACTTTGGAGCGCAGCTGTGTGGAATGCCTCTGTCTGCCGTGTTCTTGAGGGCTACGGCAGTGGGTCTTGACTCGGGTGTGCTGCTTGTTTTGAGTATCGTGGGCCTCGGCCCAGGAATCACGGCCACTGCTCACCTGAGGCTGTGAGGGGGGGGTGGGGTTGGGCGGAGAAGGGAGAGAGGGGGGGAGAGTGTCCGCTGTGAGAGGGGCTGTGGTGGAGGAGCCTTCCGTTGGGGAGGCAGGCGGGCCAAAATGGCCAATTGGTGGGGTGGCAGGCTCCGATGTTCGAAGCCTCAAATGATTGGGGGTGGAGCGGTTCTGTGGGGGGTGTCTCTTCACTCTCATGTCTGGAGCTTTGGCCAAAAGGCGGTGGAAACGTCTGCAAGAGCGAAACTGTGGCTTCGGCCCTTAAGGGAAGCCCTGGTCGAAACAGGCTGTAAGCCGCCCGGGGTTGGGGCAGTCGGCGTGGGGCCGTATAAAGGCTTTTGGTTGTTGATCCTAGCTCTGGAGCCCAAACCACAACTAGGGGTTGGAGAGGTGGATAGAGCATGCCTCCAAGCTCTGTATTCCCGCCTGCTGCGAGATCTGGTGGTGATGCGGCGGCGTGCTCGCCGCTGCCGTGCTGTTTGTGACCTGAGGTGGCGGTGGTATTGTGCTCGGGTCTGTGAGGAGAGGGGTGTCCGGGAAGTGGTGTGGGGTCTGTGGGGCACTTCGTCGCCGAAAGGCACACTAGAACAACTCTCAGAGCAACCTGGAAAAGCGAAACTGTGAGGTGTAGATGGACTAGAGTTACAATAGTGGCTCGGCGCACCCAGCTCGCCTTTAGGTGGCGTGCCAGAACGGTTCAACTTATTTTTGCCCAGCTGTGTGGTACGGTCTGGGTCAGCTATGGTACAAGAGGCAGCAGCCTGTGAAAAATGCGGTCGCACAGCTGCTGCGGAAGATTGCAAGGAAGAGAGGGCGCGCTTGCCAGACCATCACTGGCGCTTGATGCACCATGCCTCCCAGGCCTCCTGTGAGTAGTCGCCCGGGACCCCACCATTGTTGATGTGGGCGATCTTTGCTGCCTCGACCGCTCCCTCTAGCTCCGTCTGTGAGCCAAACGGGTAGTAGCTCGGTCTGGCCTTGGTGGGCTGTGGAGGCGGAAGCCCCGAGCTCGGGACGCTAGCCGTGCTGATTCCACTGACAGCGGAGGCTGCGTCACTGTGGGTGCGCTTCATCTGGGAGGTCACGTCGATCATTGCCCCCACGCCTCCGCTCTCAGAGTTCACTGTGAAGGCTGCCTCCTGCTCCTGGGCTGCCATCTCTTCCATGAGCTCCTCTGTGGACCGAAGGCCTGTGAAGTGCGTCCTCTCCTCGGCGTCCGGGGGGACTTGTACAAACTTCACCGGCCATGGGAACTCATACCGGAACCTGGCGATCCAATGGTCTAGGCCTTCATCTTCGCCTTCGTTGTACTCCGGTCTCCGGGATGGCCTTGGTCAGGAACCTGCTAAGTCTCTTGGCCTCAGCATAGTTGTGTGCTGTGAGGCGAGCTGCACTGTCGAAAGCTTCCTGCTCGACAGTCGTCTGGTTGACCTGCTGTCGCAATTGGTCATACCAGATGCTGCGCCAGGTCTCCAAGAGCTTGTTGGCATGTTCCTCCGGGATGTGGATCTCGCACTAGGTCGTCTGTGAAGGACCCCCGCGGCGGTACACGATCCGGCCCAGCCAAGCCTCTTTGGAGTCAACAAGTGCCAGCGTCTTCCACCTCGGCACCAACGGCTCTTTGGTGAACTTGCTGAAGGCCGCCCTGTAAGCGTTCATGAGTCCCTGGAGCGGCGAAGCGAGCCGGCGTTCAAACTGTGTGACTCCAGGAGAGAGCTTTACAGGACCGCCGCCCTTATACTCATAGGTCTGGGCTTCCTCTTTGGACCCGGCTGCCTGTGAGGATGCCGCCGGGGTCTTCTCAGCCGTTCCTTCAGGGCTCCTTGGGTTCCTCCGTTGTCCCAGGCTTCTCCTGGTGGAAGTACCAAGGGTACACCCTGTCCGATACCTCCAGGATCCGTTTCCGGATCGTAAGGGAAGGGACTGTGAGGATGGATGTGGCCGAGAGCTCCGGCTTGCCTGGCGTGCCCGTGTCTAGCCGAGTCGTGGCCAGATCCCACATACCATCAATGTTCCACAGCCCAGCTTTCGCAAGGGCCTTTTCCACTGTGAGACGGCGGTCCGCCTCCGTCTGCCAGGTGGGGAAATTGCGGCATACGATGGTGCGCTTGGCCTGCTCGATCTGTGAGAAGAGCATGTCCTTCTCAGCCCATGCAGTACGGATGCGAAGGGCCCGGACCTGCTGCTCCAGGTTGCCCACTCGCTCGTTTGTCCTCACCTGTGAGGTGGACAGGGAGGAGTAGACTGCTCCGAGAGCTGGGGCGACCTTCTGCTGCATCGCCATCTGCACTAACTCCATGCACTGCCCGACTGTAGCCGGGGCGTTGAGGTCTACCCCCTGGGCTAGCGGAACTGTGAAGGATTGTGGCTGCAGCTGAGTCGGAATTAGCACAGCAGCCGAAGACTGTGGGGCATCCATGCGTGCTTCCAACTGACTCATGCGTTCAGTAAGGTCTTGATGCTGCTCTTCACGCCGTGCTCCTTGCAGCTTCACTTGTTCTAGCTGAGCAGCCACTTCTGCCAGCAAAGTGGACATTTTGTCCAACTGGTCTCCCTGGCCCGACATGGCTTCAAGGAAAGAAGAGGGAGGGACCTGCGAAGCTTGAACCGCTCGTGAGCTTGGACCCTCACAGTATTCTGTGCAAATGATCAAAAGGGGCACCCCTGCCCCTTTTGCAGGCAAACACCCTGAGCAATGCATTGTCCTGTTTCAGGTTCTGCTTGGGTGGCACAAGGTGCAAGGCACGGACAACATGCGGGAACAATGTTCCAAGCCTCATCCCAAGACCGCGGTGACAATGTCACTTAGTGGCTTTTTTGGGGCTGCAGACAAGCCAGCCACCGCGGCTGCATCACCCACTATTGCCATGGCAACGACGGGCGCTGTCGGCAGCACTCTCCCGCTAGGCCTGTATCTCGTATGCGACACATGGTGAACTCGGGTAACACCTGCTATGTCAATGCGACCATTCAGGCCCTACTAGCCGCAAAAGACTCTGCGTCCAATGTAGCGGAACTGGGACCACTGGTCCAACACTGCATCAACCCGGAAGCGGATCCAATGGATACGAGGCACATAAACCCTCCAAGCCTATTCGCTCTCCGGTCCTTAGTGCCCAGATGGCGATTCGATGGCCGTTAACAAGACATGCTAGAGCACAACACGGGAACTCTGCAACCCGCTCGCTGGGAAGGACGCACTAATGGAGTGCCGGAAAGAGAGGATGACGGCCTCACGCCGTTGCTGCTGCCCCTTTCCAGCCTGTCGTACTGCAGCAGGCCTGCACGGCATGGTATGACCACACGTTCCAGCGCGCCCTGGCATGGGCCCCTGACATCCTGCCAGTCACCTCGATGGATGGACGGCACAAAACGACGCACCCCGCTGGACCTGCGCAGCTCTCTATGCCGTCCTGGATTGAGGGCCGGCAATGGCATCAATATGCAGTCATTTCGGGAGTTTTTCACATAGGTGCTGACATACACTCCGGCCACTACCGGTCCTTCTGGATTCACCCAAAAGAGGCGTGCTGTATGTGGGGGATGATGCCACTCGCCCATATCCAGCCTTGGCCTCAGATCGCAAACATGTTAGGGAAGACTGCTACCTCCTTTTCTTGAGAAGATAGGAGTAACTCTGACACACCCTCAAGGGGTGAGTGCTGGCCCTCCAAACCCAGGAATGCGTACACCAATAGGGTGCCTGTGCGTGGGAAGGCGGACCCCACAATAGGTGGGCATGGCCCCCCCCACGTCAAGGCCAAGCATGCTTTAGGCATGCGCAGGCTTACCCGCAGCTTTTCAGGCTGACCCGGCATAGCTGACAAGATCCACAGCCCGGACCTTAAACGTGGTCGAACCGCCTCTCCCCTAGCTCAGATTTACTAATGGGAGAGCCGTCTGAGCCGTTTGGGGTCGACACTCGACGCCAGACATCCGGAGGCGGCCAGTAGCGGCAAGGCAGCGCGCTGCATGCCTTCTCCAACGCTGTAACCAAGGTGCCACTGGCAGACTAAGCAGTAAGTCGCGAAGGCCATACCTGTTTCGTTCTCTTCCGAGACAAAACGGTACAACTCCTGCGGGCCGGAAGGTCCCACACAAGGGTCGTCCAATGCCACTGTGTGACACGTTGGGACGATTCCTTCGGAGGCCTGAATATGCCAAGCGAAAGGAAAGCCTCAAAATCTTTACCAGTCTTTCAAGCAGTGAAGACTGCGAGACTAAGAAACAGGTTCAGCGATGGAAAGAAGTTTTCAACGAGCGACACTCAGAAGAAGAAGCTGAAGGAGCTCAGGAGAGCGGCAGACCAGCGACGTTAGCAGGCCCTGTGGGAAGGTGCCCCGGCCTCCGCCCCGGCTAAGCAGGCCCTGTGGGAAGGTGCCCCGGCCCCCGCCCCCACTGAAGCCTCAGAAGAGGGCCTCATGGGAAGGTGCAGCTGAAGCCTCAGAAGAGGGCCTCAACCTCCGCCAGCAGCAGCTGCCCCGGACTCGCCAGCAGCACTAAGCCATGTTCACGTTGAATGTGCTCCGAGAGCATCTCAGAAACCCTGGCCACCGCCAGGATGGCCCTAGTCTTCCAGTCAGTGGCATGGCGCAGAGCCCGGTGCTATGCAACACGAGCCGAGCCATTGCTCCAGCATTTGCCGCAGCATCCGCCTTGGCATTCAGAGCACGAGCACTGATGGCACCTCTGCCGGATGCCGCCGCTGTCAGTCGGAAATTATGCCCTAGCCTCCTGCTGGTCGTGCTACTGCTGCTCAGCTGACAGCATACACAACGCGAATTCCGTTTCAATGTTCAAGTACATACAACAATCTGGAGCTCGATACTCTGCAGCCTGCAAACTCGCTTTGGCTGATCACTGCCAGTTAGCTCAAAGCCTGTAGGCCGCAACCACTCAAAGGTCTTTTGACCTGGGCGGATCAGCTATAGTTTTATATTTCACAACAGCCGTCGGCACACCACGATGGAAATGGACCAGATATTCGGTAAGCAAAGCTTTCAAATATCATAAGGGAAAACCGAGGTTATGTATTCCAGAATCAATAATATATAAAGTATGAATTTATGAAATATTCATCCGGTTTCGCGCGCGAACTACAGAGACTGCACTCGGACCCCTCCTTCTTTTGGCTGTGGTGGAAAGCACTCGAGTAAGTAAGATACCGAAGTATCGGACTTATCAAGATGCATCCCCCCCCTTCCGTCGTAAACAGCGTTGTAAGCAACGACCAGTAAGGAAACATAAACACCAACATACATCCTGGAAGGGAGGATAGCATCCTGATGCACCACTGGAAAAGGGTGCCAAGTGAACCACAAGCTCTCGCCAAGAGAACTCGTAATCACCAGCACTTGTGACTCACAGAGCCGACTCAGTGACTAGGGAGACGCACACCGAGGGGTGTACCAAACAATCTTCGTGAGTCCAACCGCCTCACACATGTGAAGCCTGGAGAAAAGTTTGGCGCACACACAGTTATGCCCGATAGGCGCGAGATAGAAAGAGTACCACGCATGCAACAAAGACCACATGAGCACACACTGCTCATGGGTGGGAGGGTGGGGTCTTTGCGAAAACATGTGCTTCGACATGTTGCTCTTTGGGCCGACAGCTGTTGTGAAAGGAATGTCAAACGCAATTAAGCAGAGTTGCACAAAAACCGCGTTGTTGTTCCATAAAAACAAGCTTGAGCAAGCACAAGGATCGTTTTATATTTCACAACAGCCGTCGGCACACCACGATGGAAATGGACCAGATATTCGGTAAGCAAAGCTTTCAAATATCATAAGGGAAAACCGAGGTTATGTATTCCAGAATCAATAATATATAAAGTATGAATTTATGAAATATTCATCCGGTCTCGCGCACGAACTACAGAGACTGCACTCGGACCCCTCCTTCTTTTGGCTGTGGTGGAAAGCACTCGAGTAAGTAAGATACCGAAGTATCGGACTTATCAAGATGCATCCCCCCTTAAGAACTGCCACAGCCAAAGAAGGAGGAGCGCTGGGACAAGAGCCCCAATTGAAATCGTGCTACGACTGAATGGCTGCCTTCACGGAGGACTCCACAGGAGCCGAGTGCCCTTCGGGAACACTCTCACATCATGGTCAGACTGCCACATGCGCTTGACTGGGTAGCGATAGCGAAAGGTTTCAGCGAACTCGGGCAACAGAGGGTCCGTGCCGTTCCAGCGGGACAGGTAATCTGCCTCCTCGTTGCGGAAGCCCGAAATGTGGTGCACGTCCAGGGTAATCCCGTGTCTAAAAGCGACAAAAGCCAGTTGCTGAGCGAAAAAGCAGAGCGGGGATGACGTAGTCATCAAACGATTTGCCGATGCCTGTGCAGAGGCATTGTCGCAGAAAGTACGCAGCTGAAGCCTGCATCGTCCGCCCGGGCAAGTCTCTGCAAAAAGAAGCGCCAGAGCAATTTGAGCCAGGAGCTCCCAGCACCAATATTCTTCTGAGTGTTGTTGTCGAGAGGGATGTTCAAGTCATCGAAATCCGACTTCGCAAATCGTTCGCTGAACCACAAGACGGATGAGCCCTCAACACGCAGAAAACCACCTATCCCGATAGAGGAACCCTGAGCACAAGCATCCGCTGCCAAGGTACAGGCAATGCTCCGTGGAGGAAGGTGCAGGCACTGTTCCAATGGGCTGCGCATGCACCACGATTCCCAAAATTCCATGAACTTGCGGCTGCATTCCGAAAGCTTGCGCTTGGGATGTTTGGGATCGGAGATACGCATATATATCCGACGTGAAGTCAGAGGAACTTTGTTCAAGTCCTGCTTGGAGTGCAGCTCAATGTGCCTGGCAGACAAAAGACGAGCACCTCGTGGAATAGCTGTGCCTGGAGGTTGGCTGGTGAACCGCAGGTTATCATCCAAGTACTCATGCAGCAAGTGCCACTCGCCAGAATCCACATGATGGTTTGTGGCCACCGGTCTATGCAGATCCGAATACAAGAATGCCATCCAGGGGCGGAGTTCAGGAGAAATCTGGCTCACCCACTGAAGCAAACCCACCGTTTTTTCAAGATCGCAGCGATCCACGTTGCCTGGCCGCAGAACGACCCGCACTGAACGAAGAATCTTCTCAATCTTGTCGGTTGGCAGACTGAAAGTCCCTGATCTGAAATTGAATAGCCATCCTATCCACTTCACTCTGTACCCGCACTGCAGTTTGTGCCACGATAGTGGCACATTGTAAGCTCCCACCGTCACAGCGCACGCTGGCTGTGGCTGGCGAGTCAATGGTGAGCTCCGGACGGATACAGCCACCTATGCCCGCTCAGATGACAAGTTTGGAAATAACAATGGCTCCCTGGTCCCAGAAAAGGCAGATCCATCGGATCCCTTCCCTGGACTTGGGTCCTGGGAAAAGTCTGCTGTGTGGGCCAAGTTCTACCTTTCTACCGAATTGAGGACATGCGGCAGGTATGTCTACCAGGAAATCTTCCCCTGAAATTCCTACTCCAACCAGGACGGCTACTTGGTGCTCGACAAGCCCCCTCCTCCACCTCCGATAAAGACTATCGTTCCGAAGGAGGAGGCGGTGTCAATGACAACTCCAGCATCCCAAAGCGGGAGCAAGGCTCACCCTGCCCCGGAACCGGTGCCGCCTTCATCTCCTACATCACCTACGGCCAGATCCGCTGTGGAAGCTACGCAAGCTACCCAAGCTGACATGGGGTCAGGAACTCCACAGCAAGAGACACAAGGAGCATCCGCCAAGCTCCAGGCATCTGGGGTGACCCACCAGCCAGCCCTGTGGAGGACCAGGACCAACCGCCGGCGATTCCCGCCCAACGCCAGCCCCAGCCTCAGCCCATACTGACTCCGGCTGAACCGGTGGCCAGCGAGAGGGCCCCGAACGCCAGATTCAGAGCGATGGCAGCTTCAGGAGGCAGCGACGTCAGGATCTCGAAAAACCACCATCGAAGATTGGACCCGCAGCCTTCGCTTTCTTGAGGAATGCCCGTTCCCGAGGCCCCCGCCGCCTTAAAGCAGCTGGGACAATGTCCGCCACTGTCATCACGATGGCGACAATGTCGTCCTGGCGCTGTATCGGCCGGTACTCCACAATTTTTATTTCTCCATGTGCCTGTAGGCTAGCACGCCGTTGTTCTATCACACGGCCCCTTTCTTTTCGGACGACGCTGCCATGCAGATTGCAGTCACGGTACGAAATAACCGGTCCGTTGGCAAGTGCTACACTAGTTGCCTGTGCAACCAGGCGCGATCTGGAACCCAGACACTCAGCTCCTACCTTTATCTGCTACCACAAAACATGACTGTGCTTGTCGGCTCTCAGACCTATGGAAGTCGGTGGAGGCAAGGGTCCCCCCAAACCCCTACTGCAAAACGGGCAAGGGTTGGTCGAGGGTTCGGTTCTGGAAGCTATTTCGGAATACAGCTTACACTGTCGCATCCAACACCAGGTTTGACCCTGTGTTTTGCGGTTCAAAGATAACTTAATTTTTGTTTTGGCCTAAAATGTCTGGTGTCCTGTCGTTGGCAGATCTTGTCTTAGTGGGCAGTGGACAAAAACCATGATTTTGAAGCTGATGGGGTTGATCTGTCCAGAGACTTGAATATGGCTGAAATCACAGCTGGAGCACACACTCTGATCCAACTTCTAAAATTGGACTCCTGGTTTGGGCCTAATCTAGTAGACGTCTCTTCGAGCGCCCTTGTTCTGAAAGACTCTGCTTCTTTTTCGCATCCCGCTGTGGTTAATCTCGCTGTTTGCAGAATACAGAAGTGCTAGATCTACACACTCAGCAAAAGATAAAGATTTCCGAGGTCTGCACCTGGAACCTTCAGCAAGACATCAAAATTTCCGAGGTCTGCAACTGGAACCTGCTGAGGAGAGTTGCCGCAGATGAATGCAGCATTTGCTCCCCAGAGGTCTTCCCTGTGCACCTGCGGAAACATGAGAGTTTGATCATTTGCCGTGGTGTTGGATCCTGAGAAGCCTTTTTCGCTGAAAAGCAAAAGTCACTTTCCAGACTCGCTAAGCTCTGTGGCCCTGTTTGTGTCTAATGCTCGCAAAACTGCCCCGAAGTCTTCAAGCTCCCAAGATCGGAACTCGACTCTGGAGGTGAAGCAGTTGAAGACCAAAACTTCTTGCCAGAAGTCTTCAATCTTCCAATCCATGAGAATCAAACAGACATCGACAAGGGGATCCACAGCAACCCCTCCGCTGACTGTTGGAGGGCCAATCCCGAAATGAGCCTCCAAAACATTTTGTGTCACACAGTCCACATTGTTAGTGAAGTCGTTCTGCTCATACTGGCAGTGCAGCGGGCACGTTGTGATTCCATCGAGGGATGGTGTGTCATTCGGCAGCACGAACTTGATATACATGTTCTACAGCTGAAACTACACAAAAAAAAAACCTACCTTGAGAAGGAAACAGCTCACCAAAGCAGCAACTGGTTTAAGGTTTGGGGTAATGCTGGGACTTTGAAGTTTAGATAAGAATAGCAAGCAACAACTTCGAAACAAGAATTTTTAGCTAACTATGATATTTGGGATCTGGGCATGACCGTGGCGAGTATCATTTTTTTCACAGCTTCACAAAGCTCCAAGGTTGAGGTGGGTGGTGAGAAGTAAAAGAACTCGCAACGCTGTGTAGCCTCCCAAGGGCTGCCGCACAAGATTTCACCTTGGTGATGCTCTTGGCTAGCAGGCACCCTCCCGCAAACGGCAGCACAACCGTTTCAAACTCTCTTCACTTGCTCGGGGTGTTTTTGAAAGAAGAACAAAGCCGCAGCACTGACATTGCTATCAGATGGCAAATCGGCAAGGAAAAGATCGCCAGGAATCCTCGCAAAGAAGATCATCTACGCTGCCCCCACAACATCCTTTGTTGCGGAAGGGGCAGCTGCAGCTGCAGCATCCTGGCTGCCGGAAATCCAGTTCAGGAGCCTGCCAGTGCGCAAACCAATCAGCTCTGGATAATCCGCAATTCGTGCGGTCAGCAGGCCAACGGATGACTTGTCATCGCTGGCCCTCAGCTTCAGGACCCGGCAGCCATGGGTGATGTCCTGGGCCATCTGACAGTAGCAGTGGCCGGCTGGGATGCCCAGGGCTTTGCCCGGGGACAGATGAACAATCCAGCCTTTTTTCTGGCAGATTTTCAGGAAGTCGTTTGGGTCCGTGGCCAGGGTCGCATCACAGAAAGCCTTGAAGCCGTCTTTCATCATCGTGGTATTGATCTGGAATCCGCAGCACACAGATGTGCCCTCCAAGCACATCTTGAACTCAGTCAAGGCATAGTCTGCTGTGAAGTAGATCTTGCTGGTGTTTTCCCCATGCTCTAAAACATTGGCGAAAACACCTCTTTCAAATCACCGTCTGTGGTGACATCCTTGATGTGCTTGGATGCATTGCCAAGGCAGCTCATCCAATCCTTGTTGAGCTTCGTGCAAAGCTGCGGTTTGGCGACCACGTTGGTTGACAGCTCGGGGCCGCTGCCTTTCTTCCAGCTTTCGGCCAGCCAGGTCTTCTGCTGCTCGTAGTACGGCAACTCCAGCCACTCCTGCAACAGCTGCTGGTTCTGGGCTGCAGCCAGAACCAGGGCAAAGGCCTGGTTCTCCTTCTCAACCCAGTCGGCAGCGGCAAACACCACGCCCTGATCCTCGCTGATGTTCTCCACTGCTTGGGTGGCTGCCTTGTTTGCCGAGGAAACTGACAGTCGCTTCTTCTTGTTGCAGCCCTTCTTGTACTCGGCACACCAGGCCCTGATCTCCGCCAGGTTGTCCTTCACCTTTTTCACCGCATCTTTTGATGCGAACGTCTTCACAAAGGCCGAAACATCCATGAAGTACTGGTGCCACTTCTCGGCGGCCTCGTCGGAGGTGTCCGAAGGGTTGCTTTCCAAAGCAGTTGTCCATTTCCTTGGCTCGGCAAACTACAAGAATGATAGACTAGGTATTTCCCAAACTATCAAACACCTTGATAAGGACTCTAATCTGCTGTTTCCCAAACTATCAAAAGGTCTGAGAAGGACTCTATTCTGCTGTTTCCCAAACTATCAAAAGCTCTGGGAAGGACTCTATTCTGCTGTTTCCCAAACTATCAAAAGCTCTGCGAAGGACTCTATTCTGCTGTGGCCCAAATTATCAAAAGCTCTGGGAAGGACTCTATTAGTCTGAGAAGGACCCTATTCTGCTGTTTCCCAAACACTCAAAAGCTCTGAGAAGGACCTTATTCTGCTGTTTCCCAAACACTCAAAAGCTCTGAGAAGGACTCTATTCTGCTGTTTCCCAAACTATCAAAAGCTCTGGGAAGGACTCTATTCTGCTGTTTCCCAAACTATCAAAAGCTCTGGGAAGGACTCTATTCTGCTGTTTCCCAAACTATCAAAAGCTCTGCGAAGGACTCTATTCTGCTGTGGCCCAAATTATCAAAAGCTCTGGGAAGGACTCTATTAGTCTGAGAAGGACCCTATTCTGCTGTTTCCCAAACACTCAAAAGCTCTGAGAAGGACTCTATTCTGCTGTTTCCCAAACTATCAAAAGCTCTGGGAAGGACTCTATTCTGCTGTTTCCCAAACTATCAAAAGCTCTGGGAAGGACTCTATTCTGCTGTTTCCCAAACTATCAAAAGCTCTGGGAAAGACTCTGTTCTAGAATGCACAGCCAAGATGCTCGATCGTCTCCTCCAAGTACTGCTCGGCACCCTTGTAGATCTCCTCGAACTTGTCCGACCTTGTCTTCATCTCGACCATGGTGGTGGGGTCGTTCTCGGACATCTGCTCGATCTCCAGCTTCACGGTCTTGAGAGCTGTCTTGAAACGATACAAACTCGCTTCACAACTCGACCGAGCCCTGCTGATGCTGCTTTCGTATTGCAATTTTTCGAGTGCCGCACTTGACACCTTCGGTCTCTGGGAGAGGAGTTGTCGCCGTTTTTCCTCAATCTTCTCGGCCTCTTCGTAGAGAAGCGCTTCGGCCGCCATCCTCATTTTGCTCGACGCCTCCATGTCTGCTTGGATCTGAAGCAGAGGGGTCTCTCTCACGACCCCGGCGGCATCTGAGCTCATGCGGTCTGCACGGAGCAACGTCTCTCCCCTTTGCAGCCGCATGTCCGCTTGGGTGCCGAAGGCCTCCAAGTCCTCGGAGTTGTGAAGATCGCACCTCTGCTTGAGGCCTGCTGTGATGCTGTGGCGGCTGCCATCTCTGTCTTCCAGGCCGGTCCACACACGCAGCAGGACCTCGCCATTCACAGTCTTCGTCTGGCTGGTCGGCTTGTCCAGCTCCCGCTTCCAACGGGTGGGGAGCTCCTCGGGCGAGCAACCGGTCACCAACCTTTCTGTTGCGGCCCAGTCTCGGAATCTGGTCCACCGGGCCACGTCATCGCTGCCGCTGTGCCGGCTGCGATTCTCCTCCACGATTCCCACTCCGGATTCAAACGTGCGGCGTTTGTTGGAGAATCCTTCAGCTTCTCTTTTGGCTTTCTGTTTCTTGTACCATTCGGCTCTGTCCTCCTCGCTCATCTTGGCCACTTCGCTTTTGACCTTTTCGGCCTTCATTCTCATGTCTTGCTCTGCCGGGGTTTCGTCAGCCCCCTTAACCTTGGTCTTGCAAGACCTCTGCAAGGACTTGTCAGTTGCTGCACAACCTGTACACACACGCTTCAGGGCATTCCGCCCTGATGCATGGGAGTTCTCCAGCAACACAGGGTCCCTGCACTTCTGACACACAAGCTGTGTCTCAGACATCGCTTGGTGGCGGCAGAAAAACGAAGAGTACTCTCGTGGCGAGGCAGGCAAACTCGGCACTGCCCGGGCTTCCTAAAAGAAGCAACCTGAAAAGCAAAACGGCTGGAGACATGATATGAACAATTCCATCATGGAGTGGCTGCTACTTCCTTCCAAAGTTCTCTCTCTCTCTCTCTCTCTCCCTCTCTCTGTCTCTCTCTTTCTAGCTCCTGCTGATGTCGTGGCACTTTCTTTTCCTTGGTCCACGCCTTCTCGGCGCAGGGTGCTACAGAAAAGTGTTGTCGGCCGCACTAATTATGGTGGATGTAGCCCTGGTAAACTATCTGCAAAGGGATGACAGCAATACAAACATTATGAACAGAACACTGGCCACATCCCTAGCTGCCAGTGCATATCAAATTATCTTGCACTTCGTGCAATCTAATTGATTTATGCAAGGACATCACAAGGTCTTGAGTGCCCATTCGATGGTTGCCCTCATTTTTTGTCTTTTTCTTGGTGGTGAAACAACAGCTGGCTTGGTGCTGGGTAGTCGAGACAAGCGAGGCTGCCGAACACCTCGCCACAACTTCCCAGCTACTACAGCAGCACGCAGGAGTGGGGCCAACATTATGCTGGCCTGCAAAACGTTGAAACAGTTGCCTGCTGCCTGCAGAACATGTTGCTTGCTTTTGAAATGCTGGAGAAGATTTGGGCTGTGACCTTGAAGGATGAGCCTTTCTTCTGGCAGCACATAACGATGAAACTCCATCTGGCTGCTGGGCAGATGGATGTCTGCAGTGGACAGCACAAACAATAGAGGCCCCTGTGTTCGCAGACTGGGCACCCGGTCTTTGTGGACTCTCCCTCCGACGGCCCGCAAGGGGCATCTGTCCAACTCGACAACAGCAAGGTCGAACTCGTGCTTTCGCCTCTCTTCTGCAACTGCCTGGATGTAAAGCTTGAGGTTGGCGGTTGGCAGCTTGAGTTGCAGTCATGCTGTCTGTGGTGTCATTAGCTTTACCTGGCAGGAGCAAGCTTCGGAGGGTGGGAGGTTGGATTCCGGCAGTCTCCCAGGGCTGACGCAGCACGGCAGGAAGCTTGCCATCTTCTGACAGGCAATCTTTGCTCAATCCTCTTACCCATAACCTTTCGCGATGCATAGGCCAAACTGAACCCAAGTCGTGTTTAACGAAATCGATTTCAAACCATGGGATGCAAAGCCGCAGTCGCTCCAAGGTGTCATCAAGAAACGTGAGCCTATCATGGCCGAACTGTTTTCCAAAAGGAAAAACGTCAGGCTTCCTCTATGTGCAAAATGAATAATCATTTCCACTGTCTGTTCCCAGACTTCGCACCTTGCATCTGCTTGCTGAGATCGCAACCCGCACATGGCCCAAGGTTGGCAGGGAGGCCCAGCGATCAGCCCTTCGGGCTCCTGTTGCAAAGAAGCAACGTCGACCTTCAAAATGTCGCCATGCATGCCCAAGTTGAGCTGATCTGCTTGCTGCCCCAAACAATCTCTCCAAAAATGTGCAAGGCCTTTGTCATTTTCATAAACAGCTGTTGGCTCCCAGGACACGCCCACGGAGGAACACAAAGACCTATAACCACTGATGCCACAACATGGCTCTGCCACCACAACAGCCCTTTCCAGAAACTGCAAGGGCTGCAGTATTGTTCGCAGCAGCAATGTTAGCGAACTTGCCATGTTTGAGCCGGCATACACCAAAACAGCTGCCGACGTTCAGATCCGAGCTTTGTGCTTGAAAGTTGTTTGTGGATTTGGGTTTTGGTGGCTTTGGGCTTTGGGGTGTGCTGATCTGCTATGAGGATTGCAAAAACCTGAACCTTGAGGCTGAAAGGCAGTCGCTTTTTTCCGCACAGCACTGGGCTTCAAAGCCCGGTTCACCTTAAAGCAAAATCGTGCACTGTGGCACGCAGAACATGTTGCTATCCTAGTGGATAAGTATCCACAAGCAGCCTGAGCCAACACCTTCACTCAGTCTGTGTGTCTTCGGTGTCGGGGTTTCTTGGGATCATGGCCGCTTCAAAACTTTCCACAATGCCGTGGACGGAATTCACGCTGGTGACACAATCGGTCACAATCCCTTTAAGGCTGCTCATCTTTCTGTTGAGTGCCGCATTCTGTGACCAGAGATTCCTGTTGTTTTCTTGCAGTGCCAATATTGTGGCATCCTTCTGGTTTATCTCGCTTTGAAGTGCGAGGTTGTCAGACCTCGCTCGCTTCAAAGCTGCCTCTGTCATTTCCTTGCTTTTGTCTGCAGCAAGGGCCCGCTTCCTGTCTTCGTGCACTGCTTGGACGAGCTCCAGTGCTTCGCTTCTTGTTAGGGGATACTCGTTTTTGCGAGTGGTTCCCGGATCTTCAAAAAACTGGCGAAGGCCTCGCTTGAACTTAATTACTGGGTCGTTGGTCGCAGGCCTTGCTGGCATTGCACTTGCTGCTGTTGTGGCCTCTGTTGGCCTTGCTGGCATTGCACCTGGTGCTGTTGTGGCCTCTGTGGCCGCAGCACACACAGGTGTTGCCGGATCTGATGGCATTGCTATGATGCTACGACACAAAATCGCAAACAATCAAAAGTTGTTGCTTGCTGCAAGCCAAAAGCACTGCAGTATAGCTGGAAACATAGAAAACACGACATGCACCACATATTCAGTGCAAACATGCCATGGATCACATATGGAGCTGCTGCGGGTCCCTTCGGGGTCTGATTCCATGCTGCCCGCCTCTGAAAATGCCTGAAAAAACAAGTTTCGCATGTGAAGGGGACTGTGAAAGGCCGTTGGAGGGGAAGAGCCGGGAGGGACAGCGGAGGGACAGTGGAGGGACAGTGGGAGCGACAGTGGGAGCGACAGTGGGAGCGACAGCGGGAGCGACGGGAGGGACGGGAGGGACAGCGGGAGCGACAATCGGAGCGACAACAAGCCAACGGGAGCGACAGTGGAGGGACAGTGGAGCGACAGTGGAGGGACAGTGGGAGGGACAGTGGATGACCAAAAATGTGCTTCCAAGCCCAATTCTGGCTTAAAGGCCCTAATGTTCAACAAAATCGCACCAAATCTGTGTGAGAACTATCTTTGCCCTTGTAAAACCAAGCAACGCCGAAACTTTGTGCACACAAAGGCCTAAATGAAGCCCTTTACCTCCCACAACCCAGGCCCACGCCCTTCAAGTCAGCTTTTTTTCTTGGAAGACCCGAAGATCTCTGTGCCTCTCCAGTGCAGCGGTGCAAGCCAAGGAATTGTGTCCTGAAACATAAGAAAGTGCCGTCTGTGTGAAAAATATGTACATACTGCATAAACCACATCCTGAAACATAGCAAAACACTGCCTAAGTTCACAAAAGACAACATCACTGACACAATTCCTCAGTGCACAAAACGCACCCCTTGGGCAGGACCGCTAGGGCCGCTACGGTGCCTCAGCTAGGCAGCTAGGGCTAGGCCAGGGTCTGCCACAAGAGTGGCACCCGAATGCATCCATGCATTGGGTCTGCCACAAGATTGGCACCCTTTGCCTCCAAAGCAGGCTGTGGAGGCACTGTCACCGTGCCACCTGGGCCACCGTGCCCGGCGCTTGGGCCCACTAGCGGCCGCTTGGTGGCGATGGGCCCTGCTTTGGCAGTGGCACGTCATCGCCCATCTCTCTCACCAAACTTCCCATACTCTGCAAGAAGTTCGCAAGAAGCTCGTTCCGCCTGCCGCCCCGGCCAGAGCTCGCAGCAGACCCGGAAGCTTGGCTGTCCGGCGGCCCCGCTGGAGGTGGCATTGGCGATGGCCCTTGCAGCTGTGCTGCCGACAAGCCCAGGGCCGCGACCGTGTCTGGGCCGGGTGCCACGTATCCCTGGCCTCTGTAGACCGGGATGTCCGGGACGTCAGCTGGCACTGCCGGCTTCTTTCGTGGCTGCCTCCTGGGCTGGTGCGGTTCCGGCGCCGGCCCTTGGCCACCCTGGCCTTGCCTCAGCAGCACCTGGGAGATGGACTCCTCTGGAAGAACTGAGGAGGGAACCACTTCCGGCTCTGGCACATCCTCTGCCTGCGGCGCTTGGCTGGCGTGTTTTGCTTGGTAGTGCTGCTGGTAGCTGTATTGCGTCTTGAAAGACTTCTGGCAAGCCATGCACCGCAGCCAGTTGCGCTGGATGGTAGCCTCACCTCTTGTACGGAGGTGGACTCCCCTGCCGCTCTTCATGCGGCTTGCGCCACCACTGATGATAGCCCTGGTAGCCGCCTTGCCATGTTGGCGGCGCTGTCACCGGGCTCCACGAACGGTAGCCATCGCGGCCACCGCTGCCACCGCCACGGCCACGGCCGCCATTGCCCCGGCCCCACGTGCCATCATCATCGCCAAAACCCCGGCGACTGCGGTCTCTGTCCTGCTGGCTCCCGTGGCGGCCCCAGTCTCTGTCCTGCTGCTCCCCCCGGTGACGGTCCCAGCCTCTGTCCTGCTGGTCCCGGCGGGGGTTCGAGGCAGCAACCCAGATCCCAGGAGGGGGATCTGACATTGCCTTCGCCTTCTTTGGCATCGCCTTCACCTCCGGTTTCTTTGTGGAGGAAGAAGCTGCCTCAGCCGCACCTCTCTTTTTTTCATCTCTCTTTCTTGCTTCCACCTCCTCCTTTCCCTTCTCATCCCTCCTCCCGGGCGGCTTTCTGTCTTCTCGTTCCGAGCTTGAGCTCCGCATCTGGCCACCACTTTTTCTCTTCGTGGCTTCAGCCGCCTCCTTCCGAGGATCCTCCCCCTCGGAACTGTAGTAGGTGTACGATCGCGACGACGACGTCGACCGTCCTGCAAGGGAGGTTGCTTCTTGGGGATCTTTAAGGTAACCTAGTTTTGGGGTGGGTCTTTATGTCTTTACGTTAGCCTAGTTTTGGGGCTGCTTTAAGTTATCTTAGGTCTTCGTTTGTTCTTAACATGACACTATCCACAGCACCTGGTAGTTGGTTGGCAGAGGTCTGGCTTTGTGCTGCACCTGCACAAGTTGAACTTGTGAGGTCTGCAGTACA